GATTGAAGTTGTCAAGGATTTCATTTTACTTGGATCCACAATCAACACCCATGAGAGCAGCAGTCAAGAAATCAAAAGTCACATTGCATTGGGCAAATCTTCTGCAAAAGACCTCTTTAAAGTGTTGAAAAGCAAAGATGTCACCTTGAAGACTAAGGTGTACCTGACCCAAGCCATGGTATTTTCGATCGTCTCATATGCATGCAAAAGCTGGACAATGAGTAAGGAAGACCAAAGAAGAATTGACGTCTTTGAGTTGTGGTGTTGGTGAAGAATAGTCAATATACCATGGACTGCCAAAAGAATGAACAAATCTGTCTTGGAAAAAAGTACAACCAGAATTCTCCTTAGAAGCAAGGATGGTGAGACTACGTCTCACATAGTATGGACATGTTATCAGAAGGGATCAGTCCCGGAGAAGGACATCATGCTTGGTAAAGTAGAGGGTCAGCAAAAAAGAGGAAGACCCTCAACGAGATGGACTGATACAGTAGCTGCAACAATGGGCTCAAGCATAACAACGATTGTGAGCATGGCGCAGGACCAGGCAGTGTTTCGTTCTGTGGTGCATAGGGTTGCTATGAGTCGGAACCGACTCAATGGCACCTAACAACAACAACAAGAACATATGCACGAAAATACATAGAAAATAACCTGGTAGATAAGAAGCTTAAGGGGCAGTGAGTTTATGTTAATGGTGGAGGAATAATTTGGAAAAGGAGGGTGAGAATGGTTGCACAGCTTGAAGAATGTAATCAATGTCCCTGAATTATACATGGAGAAATTATTGAATTGATGTATGTTTTGCTGTGTATATTTTCAACAACGACAAAAATATAATGCATTATTAAAAAAAGAAGAGAACCTGGCAGCACACTGTAAATGATTCGACCCTAGAATTGGAACGTATGTTGAGAGGGACTTTTGGTTTTAATTCTATATATTTTGTAACTGTTTGAATATTCTATAATGAAAATTTCTTCATGTACTACTTTTTAGTTTTTTAAAAATCAGAAAAGAAGGTACTTCTCAAAGACAAAAGTTGAACCCAAACAACGTTGAGTCAGAAGTCAACTGATCCTTGAGAATTCTTCTTCAACCTCACTTGATATGTATGATTCCCACAGAAAGCTGGAGAATTTTCTAAAATGTGAAGAAGTAACTGCTTTCATCGTGGACACCCGTGAACAAAGCTAGAACTGGCAGTAGGGAGAGGAGATTTGCTTCTAATGGTCTTTATCGTCCTTTAGAAACCACCCTATCCCTCACTTGTTAGCAGTCTCCCCTCCACCTGAGCTTCCATTGCTTTCAAGTTAGTCCCTGGCTTTCCACAGATCTATCTTGGGTGCCTTACCCACCCTGTCCTCCCCAGGCAGCAATCCATTCTATGAACCTTTCCTTTCCCTCCCCCAAACTTGCCTGCTTCTGTATCCCTTTCACACAGGACTTTACTAAATGATTAAGGAATTCAGTCAACTAATTTGACCTAACATGCTAATAGCTTCATTTGTTTCCCCCTTAGTAGATAATATTTTAACAGAGGCCTTCAATGTATTAACTCAAAGGAATGACTAATAGTGTGTGTGGGTAGGGATGGGGAGTGGGGAGATTTTACTAGTCACATCACATAAGCAGCTGCTTTGAAAAATACCCTCACTTTCAGATGTTTTATGTAAATTACTGACTGTAAATTTATTAAAGTAAATGTTTTGTATCTAGCAGGCGATGCAAAATCGGCTGGGATTATGTGATGAAATTATTTGTTTATAATTATTTAATGGTTACCTTTGTATATAACATATGTTGATCCTATTAACAAAATAAATCTGGCCCATGAAAAAAAAGACTTGACAGTTTCAGCTTAAGGTGTTTAACTGAATTAATCTGAGGTCAACTTGCCACACCACAGGCCTACAGTATGAAAGGGACATCTCGTGGGCTGTTTTTTCCAGCTAAGAATGGGGGCGGGGAGGCTCCAGATACTTTCTACAGAGAAAAACACAGAGACCAGTCTGTTTCAGAAGGAAAAAATCACAGAAGGGTGATTTTGTTACACAAGAGAATCGATGCTTCTGCAAAAGGGGACCTTCAGACGGCTCTCAAGAGAAGCAGCTAGTTGTCTGAAATCCAAAAAGGATGACCAAGGGCTTTTCTAACTAAGAAGCTCTTAACAGGATGGTGAGAAGAAAAGTATTTTTGGCACAGACTCATCAATAGGACATTGTTTTAAAACTAGTTGTGAATGGCCCATGTAGGCTGCTTAAGAGAGTGGTTCAAAATAAATAATGTTCCCAGAATGGAGAGCTAGCAAGCTTCTGGTACTTCTTATTCTCCTTTGATCTATATTTTGGTAATGCTTTTATCGATTTTGTAATTTCTCTGAATTGTTGTGTTTGTTACAATAAAAAATGTATGTTTGCTATCTGTCTTACATTGGTAAAATATTTTCCTGCAGCTTTAATTAGTCTTTAAGCCCAAGCCTAAACCTTACTGCTGAACATGCATTCCTAACCAGCAGCACCAGGTCACCTGGAGTCTGGCTTCCATGGCACCACATCCTCCATGTTTTCCTCCTATCTTACTGGCCTGGTGGCT